GCGGCCCATGTTCTTTTTCTCCTGTTAGTTAAGTTCTTCCCTCAAGTCGTTCTCCATGTTCATCAACGTCCGAGATACACGTGAGAAGACGTCTCCATGATAGGAATACCTTTCAGTTCCATTTCTGCATCTTCGCAAAGGGCGTTCTTTACGAAATGAGTCTTCTTCCGAATTATTCGCAGTCCGATTTTTTTCCCTACTTCAAAGGCTTTCTCGTAGTCAGGACGAGAGGCAATCGGTACTTCCGGCAGACTTCTATGACTCTCGAAGTCGTCTGGATGTGGTCTATGCAGCTGAATCCTTTGCGAAATCCAGCTTGTTCTTGAGGTTGGGCTTCATGCAGTGTCCTTTATATGCGAGCAAGGATAATGTTGGTGAAAAGCTTATACAGCACACTCAGCAGGCATGTTGGACGGTAGTTCAGAAGATCCTCCCCTTTACCCTTCTTGAAAAGACGGACGGTTCTCGACGTTCTCCACTGGTCGGGAATCCTTTCCTTCTGAAGGTAAGATGTTAAATGCGACGCTAGACCTCGGTAGACGGTGTCCTCCGGCTCGCAGAAGTTCGACAGAAAGAGATCAGGTCCTGGAGCCGTGGGCGTCTTCATGGTCTGTATCGCTGTACGCACTTCAGCAGGTAGAAGGTGGTACTTCTCCAATGGGAACAAAGGGCATCGGCAAGGGTGTTGATGAGCGGCGGAAGAGGTTGGAAGTTCTTGCAGAAGTTCTTCGCGATAGATTCCATCTTGTATAGGGAAAAAGTCGGAGTCCCGTCTTCATTCAATAGTGCAGCCAGCGGTACGTGATATTCACAGAGGTCCCTTCGGCTCTTCTTGCTACTCCGTCTTCCTTCGGCTGCTTCCAGTATCTTGGCTTGCCTGTACTTCCTGAGATCTTCCTGCAAAGCTGTTCTGCAACTGGCGTTGGCTATCAGTCGCTCGAGATGGGTTGCATTCGGATCTTGCCTCAGAAATCTTCTTCTTTCGAGCATTCCCTTGGTGGTCTTTGGAATGCGTTCCAAGTTCTTCTCAAAAGTCACTAAGGCGCCCTCTCCGCAGGCTCGCAATCCTTTTAGGAGCCGGTCGTAGTCGTAGGTTGGGTCCTCCTCGATGGGCCAGTCATAACTTGATATGAGCTCTTCCAGCCTGTTACCGTCATAAACGACTGCTTTCCTTCTCAGAATCACCGGAACTTCCGCAGGACAAGCCAAATTTGCAGACGTTCCGCAGGATTCTGTTTACAATTGCAAAAATGAAAACGTTAAATCGGTACTTCCGCAGAACCTTCTTCAAAATTCTGCGAAAATTCCGAAAAATGCCAGAGGTTCCACAGCACTTTGGCCTGCCAGAACTTCCGCAGGATTTTATATGTGTTGTCTCGTGATGTTGCCTCGCCAACAACTAGAGTGCATTATCGAACATGTCAGCCGTAGCGTAGAGGATAGTAGGTGGGTCTCATAGTCAGTAGAGTGAGGTTCAAATCTCGCTTCGGTATTCTCTTTTGCTGTTGTGGTTTTCATTCTAAGGAACTTCCGCAGGACCTCATTTCGTGCTTTCGGCTGAATCGTATCTTCGGTCGAAGGAGGCGGTGATCGGAGCCACTGCAGAAGGATGGAACTACTGATACATCGAGCAAGCTCCACTTCGGTTGGTGAGATTGTGGTCGATCTCTGCGTGAGTCGTTCCGTTGGGCGATTCCCATGTCCACCGGCGACGTTCTTTCTTCATGAAGCTGGAATTTCCATCGGAAAAGTCGTGCGGCGGAGAAAAGCCCAACAAGACGGTTGCCGTTTTCGTTCCGGAGCCCATATCCAAACTTCCCGATCCTATATTCCTTTTCCAGTGGCATCCCGATTTTCGCGTTGAATTCGCCCACAACAAACTTGTAGAAGGACTTCTCGTTGCGGACGACCTGCTCCACGTCTTCGTAGAAAGCATCCAGCTCTAAATCGTCAGCTGCTGATGTTAGTGAGTAGCAGTTGAATATACTGATGGTCTTCTGCCGTGGAGGGCGTAGCCATAGAATGGCTATTCGAGGTGACGGATCTCATGCGAATCGACGAGATGGACGACAGATGGGTGGAGACGACAAAAACAACGCCTTCAACGTTTCGTGATGGAACCTTCTCACCACGAATGATGAGTGTCCCATCACTCATCTGTCGCACGTCCTTCTTCCTGGACTTCGTTTCCTGCAGAGCGATGACGTGGTATTTAATGTGCTCAGCAGCGTCGAGAAGAGCGTGGAGGTCGGCGTTTGTGGAGACTGTCCTGGTGTTATAGGTGCAGAGCATGAGGTAATCTCCATGGCGTGTCGTCCGGGCAGACGTGTCGTTTTTGTCCGATCCGAAAGGCGCCCTGAGTAACCTGACACAGTTCTTGCTACCACCCGGCGCCGTAGGCGGGACACGATGTACAGGGTTTTCTCTATATCTTCTTGCTGACTGAGTAATGATATTTGTTCCCCTACAAGAGCAGACCTACTAAGCCAACTCTTGATTTCCACGGGGCGATCGCTGATCCCGGGCTTGGAGAGGGGAGCAGAACCGCCTAGCGACCAAAAAACCAGACGTCGGTGGGATCCGGCCTGGCCGGATCTTAGCTAGGCATCCAACCGAAGCCGGAAATGTCGAACTCCTTCACAGCTTGGGAGGCCCTCCCAGGGTATACACTCGGCTGTGCATCGCATTCGACACCCAGTGTCATCCCCACGCCACGTTGAGGCGGCCGACCATTGTGGGGGTACCTGAGATAACTTTAGAAAAAAGCATCACAGTGAAGTGGAAATTTCATGTTCGAAATCAGCGGCTTAAATTACCATCATGTGAAATTTTTTGGCTTATTTGGTTTTGTTCCGAGGCAGAATATGGCCCCCAACGGTCTGAAACCCCTGCCAAAGTTCCTACCGTAACCCTACAGTAATAAGAGCGACTGATGATTCTCTCCATATTTCATGTCTAATTGTAAGTTGAACCTCGCTCTACACAGTGACATCTCAAACTCGGCGAACATGAAAACAAGGGAGTTATCAACGATCAAACAGCGTTCATATTTTTGGGACACCCTGTAGATGATGATTTCGCAAAGTTTTTAGAATCTTAGAAGGCATCTTTCTACATAATAAGCAGCATTTTCTGCAAAAAAGCATTCTTTTAAAAAACATCGGAACGATAGTAATTTCCAAACTTCAATTTGGCTTTGGCAATGCCTCACTGTAGCTTTACTTGGTGATTTACATCTTTACTACGGAAGGAATAGCGCGAAACTGAAAAATAAAAACACACTTCTGCAAGCAACAAACAACAGAAAGCCACAATATATTGGCGTATTGTTAACAAAATCTCTCATATTCTTCAACAATGCTAGAAAGAACAAGTAGCAATATTCACATGCCGAGGACAAACTTATGCTTACAAAAGTAAGAAGTTCATTGTAAAACTAAGACAACAAAGAAGATCACTCATTCACAATGATTCGAAACGTTCTGCGGCCTAGATTGCTGCTCGAACACTGGACCCATTTTCTCAGGTTTGAAAAGAGCTCACATTTTGAGAGTTGCACAAATAAGAGACATGCCGCTCAAGTAAAATATTAGCCCAACCGGTGATTTTAGCGCTTCTCCTAAATAGAAAGGTGTTGGCACAACACAATAGCATGGTCGCTGTAGCAGTACTCGCAAGGTACGGTATCATTGCAAGCTGATAGATGATTCTTCTTACACACTTTGGACATGGCTGACGTTTTACGAGAAGTATTGCTGCTCTATAGCTAAAAAGTAATGGCCTGTGACATAGTTGTAGTGAGGAGTGCGAGCACGCTTAGCAATGAATTGGTACTGATGGAGTATCGCTACGATGGGTGATCAGTTTGTGAAGCTGTACATAATCAGTTGAAAAACTGCTAGGTAGAGAAGAAAAGGGCGAACCCGTAGAACAACAATTCTAACGATCCTGATTTGCGAAACGCCAATGAACTAGGCGTGAGAAAAAAGACCTCAAAGTAACTCCACGTAAAGGATTTCAAAAATTTGACCTTTTGAGTAGTAAACGACAGCAACTCACTGCAGTGCACCATTCTATACTCGAATCATCACATATGGCCATGTGTGTCACTGTACACACTGTCCACTCTTAGCGTTCCAATCCTGAACCCTTAGGGAACGGCCATAGGTTGCCGGATACGGTTGCCGAGGTTGCCGGCGCTGCCGATCCCTGTAGGACCGGATAATGGCCAACAGTTTGCACTCTTTAAGCTGTCTCTGACTCCAGCAACACCGGCAACCTCGGTAGCGCAACCGCGGCAACCTTGGCAACAATTGCCGGCAACCTATGGCCGTTCCTTTAGTGAAAACAACCCTTCAGCCGAGCGTTTTCAATGTTTTCTTTATGTTTTCTTTCTGTATGTGGGGGACCCACACTACCCCAATTTTGGTAAAAACTGCCTTCAAGCCAAGTTTATTGTTGTGGCCCGAATAACCTCCGCCAAATTCCAAGCAAATTCGGGGAGACTGACATTCTAGTATGTGCCTGAGCCTTAATGACAAAAGTAGCTGTACGAGAAAGAAGTTTTCTAAACTGCGTAACTTCTTCTCGTTGATTTACTTTGTTGAAAGAGTAATGACGCATCTTGAATTCAGCAGCATGAGTATGCGTATATCTCACAATCAGAGCGTATTTCTCGGAGACTTATAAACTCCATACATGTCGTGGCATTCGTAAAAGTTGCCGCACTTCAAACGAAGAGGAGGATTCGCATTGCAAAAAGCACACTGAATGTATTACGTTTTTGTCTTGTGACGCACCAACTATATCTTTAGGATCAAATACATCTATTAGTGTGAAAACTTGCGAGAACAATTCACTAAGATTATGTGAAAAATGGTGACTAGTCTTTGATTTGGACACGCTTTCACAGACTGCAATAACGACCTCCGGACTTCGGTTTCTCAAAGAACTGCAATGTACCATCGATCCAAGTTCCTGTTGTGGTAAATGTTCACTTTTCATTTCAGGGTGTCATAGCATGTATTAGAGTCATTTGCCTCACCTTTTAGCCAATACTTCTCTCCCGGCTCGAGTTCCCAAAAATCGCTTCTAACGGTGATTTTATTTCCAGCCACAATACCCTGCATTTCATTGACTTAGGAAGCTGGTATCACCATATTGTGCAATGAAAACCAACATGTGTTCCCGCCATGACTGTGGCGTCATAGGCGAAACCTGGATAAGGTGAGCCTCTTGGTATTTCCTGGGTTGAAGTGATGGTGACGCCTGCAAATAAATCGATATGCTAGATCAGGCTCAAGACATCTCTGATTAAACAATTACACGTACTACGCTTTCTCAGAAAAATATTGGAAAAATATTGATACTGATAAGCCTTTGCTTTAGAGTTGCCTTTTGAGAGGTGTCAGCATCAGAAAGCATCAAACATCTTCTTTTTGCATTGAGCTTCATCCGCTTCCCGCTGGTAAGGGTAAGATCCTCAGCAACTACTATCAGCGTTGTTAAAGGTTTGAGTTAGTGGCTGTTTTGAGAAGGATTGTGCACAAGCGGGCGTTCAACATGTAGGCGCTTCCTTTTTCTCAAGGTGGTGTTTTCATCTCAAAAGTTTTACGCTTTTAGTTTGAAAGACAGGATAATAGATTCGAACTTGAATTATGACATTAAAAGCACCGGCCCAGATTTTCAATTTCCAAATTTTGTCGTTCCTTGACTTTCTCATGTTCCTGACTCCGAATATGCGAGAATCCAAAACCCTGACAATCGCCAGACACGATTGGATGGGCAAGCATAGATGGGCGAGCATCACTGGAGGAGGCGTTGCCACCGGTGGTCTGCGCTCTTCGTTGTTCCGGAGCACTTTTCTCGCTTCCAAAGCAACATTTTGTCCCAACTTGGGCTTGATAGGGGGTCCTACTAACGTATGCTGCCAAACGCTCAGCATCCCTAATCAAGAGTGTTTAGTTTTTTAGAGCAAATTCAGCAAAAGCAAGATTGTAAGCAGCAAACGTCCTTTGTAATCGGCATGATTATACAAACAATTTCCTTTGCTCTCAAAAAACAGACGACTGGTAAATTGCGCATAGTAAGTACATCAACTTTGGTACTGTGATAGCAAGAATGCCTAAAACTGACTAAATCTGTATGACGCATGTGTTATAAAAGACTTTATGTTATCAGTTTTGCTACAAATAAACTTACATATAAACTTTTGATTTTCGCTGGAGTACATGGCGCATGTCACGAACGCAGGCATCCACGAAGCAAGAAGAAGGAAGAGTTTCATTTTGGATTTGCTTGTGTGTATGAAGCTACGGGCTTACTCGAAGAACAGCGTGAGTTGTGGTCTGGTCCTCGGTTGCCCATTAAATACCTCATTTGCGATGATAAGTTCGCTTAATTACAGTGAAGGGCATTCACATATTAAAAATGCTTCGAACGGGATATTTTGTAAACTGCACTCCATCGCGGCGTCTAATGCCTTGTGCGACTTTCTTGTTCTCAATAACAGGTGCTCTCCGTTTATCACAGGTCAGGCGTGCCTTATCTGCTATTGGATTACGAATGAGCCAGTAAATCACCATGCATCTCAACTCCGTGACACAGCCTATTAGTCCAAATCCCGCTGTTGACGTGTCTCAAACGTATATGGGTCAATAATCTGGGTGGCTTTTCAAGTGCGTTAATGAAAATTAACTTTTTATTAGATCATCAATTAGAAAAATACACGGTTGCCAAATTGTTAGAAAGCCCATTAGTAGTAATTGCTGTCCTTTACAAATGGGTATTGTTACGTCAGAGACTCGAATTTGAAATATTTTCGAAATTGTAATGACCCCCTTCACTTGGGAAGGTATTTAGCGTCGAATATCTCTTGCTGTGAACAGCGTTGATAAGTTTCATAACCTTATATTCCATGAAAATCAGAACCTAACACAGATATAGATTGGCCCTTTCCAGCTTGTTCAGTAGAATCCTGTAATTAGAAGCAACTTCGGTTGATTCACAAGCAGATCCGCCAGATTTAGTAGGTGGTAGCTTGCAACAGCTATCAAGTCAATATAGTTTATCTGGTGTTGAAGATTTGCACAGCACTGAATAGAGTCTGCGTTAATGACGCTTTCCTGTATTGTCTCCTCGCAAAATTACATAGATTAGGAGAAAACGCTACCAGAAAGAAGAGGAAAATTTGAATCAAGCAATGCACGGATCGCTTGTATGTCAGTATTCAATAAGTGTCAACAATGATAATAGCTAAATTGTAAATTGTGATAAAGAACGCTGGACTTTATGAGATAGCCATTAACAAGAAAAGAATAAGAAACTCATGCACACGCTCTAGATGAAGGCGAAACCTCCCGCGCCTTTGGGCCAACTGCTTGATGTCAATTTTAAGTTTGTCCACTAGATGTTTAGTGAGGCAGAACAAAAACATCAGAGTAATGGGAAAGCTTACCCTTGATTACATAACCGACTGATTCCGCAAATACTAAGTATACAGCTTCGCAAGCATGCATCAACTTTTTTTGGCTATAAGAACGCAATGCCCGTACGATGAAGACGTTGATATCTTTTTGCATTCTTGCATGATAACATTTCTTTCATGACATTCATGACATTCTTTTTGCATAACTCATAAAGGCAAACAATCACATTCATTTTCCTGTATTTCGGTCATTAAAAACGGCGAAACATTTAATAACTTTTCCTTCTTTCAGACAGTAGATGCGCTAAATCTTCGACAGAAAACGAAAAACACGAGAAATTGCGTTTTTTTCGTGTTTTCCTTCAAATAAGTGTTCCTTAATGTTATTTAGATGGTTAGAGTCGGAATTGGATGCTCTATCCATTGCTGCTCATTTCGCTCCATTTGCTCCGGTTACAGAGAGCTGCTGCGGCTACGGCTTAGCGAGCGAGCCTGCGCTAATTACCTCCAATGGCAATACAGGCTTAAATTCAAACATGCTCTTTTTTTCAAACAGCATGTTTGAATTTAAGCTAGTTATTGCATAAATTTTTGAATTCAGCTCTAAACGGCGATTATTTTGAAACCAAATAGGACTGAGTTCAGTGGAAAATAGCTTGTTCAAAAAAAAAGTAGGAATTAAGTTTTTGATGTAATGGGAAAACTTCACTTGACATCAAAATAATAGGATTCCAGATATTGTTCAAGTTTCTTTAAGCCGTAACAGTTTTTTAAAGGATCCTTTATTTACTGCCCAACATTTTGGCCGAATGCCGTCTTCAAGGGCCTGAAGGCGAGTAAATCACTCATAGACCAAACGATCTAGACTACCAGACACTTTCTTCAAGCCGTATACGTGACTCAAATTCTCAAGTTGAACAGCTTACAGTGTTCCTGGTGAAGAGCGTAAGGGTGTTAGCTCTCTCTCTCTCTCACAGTCGCCCACAGCAAATGATGACAAAATGAGCGGTCCGAATAAGTACGACACGCTTAAATAGTGTAGGCTACTCACAGCTCACAAAATGGTAAAAACGGCTTCAGATCACTAGTGATAGACAAATGTTCGTTCTTGCTGTTCATTTTGGGATTAGGAGCAAGTATAAATGAAGCCTCTAACGCTTTTGGAGCAGCAATATGTTCTTCGACAGCCAAGATACAACAACGGACTTTACAATCATCTCTTCCATGGTCCTCCTTTCCAAGAGGGCCTACGGGCTCTGTCTTCTCTTACTAGCCAGATGTTCGCTGACACATGCATGAAACGGTCGACCAGTTTCGCCTATGTAAATAGCATGGCATACCTTACACTCTAACTAGTAAATCACTCCGCATTTCGAACAGTCTCCTAATCTCTCATCGGTACAAACAACAACATAGGATTCCAATTTTATTGGTCTGCATTTGGGATACATCAAATATTCTTGAATGCACATCCGTTTGGTCAATTTTTTTGGCAAACTCGCATCCGTGATATGTATGAGATGTCACTTCTGGTTAACTTTCTTCTTCCATGAACCATCTGAGGCAAAGTCCCAAATCGACTTGCCATTTAGCAACAAGTGAAGGTTAGTGCCAAATGTACAGCAAATGGGTCAGAATACGCTTAGAAAAATTGCGTCTAAGTACGAAGGTAAGCTTTTTTCGGAGTCATTCAGCAAAAATTCTGGACCGGTAGTAATCTGGTCGAAACTCCGAGTTTAAAGCTGCGCGTTAACTCGGAGTTAACTCTGAATTTCGTTTTGAAACTCAGAGTTAACTGCGAGTTTCGTTTCTGGAACTCGGAGTGTCGCTCTGCTACTTGAGGATCCGCTCTAGTTGTTGGGGAGCCGCCACATGCTTCATCGCAAAACGCTGCGATTAAGTCGGGACTCGAACTGCGCGAAGTGCCCACTACTAGACCGCTAAGCTAAAGAGCCATCATTGACATTTGCTGCAACTGCTTAGTGAATCCCCGTAATCAAGATCTCACATGTCAAGATACATGGAGAGGCGTTAGGCTTGCCTGAGGTGCCTAGCAGTGGCAACCTTATAATCCGTTCCCCTCCTCTCTCACCTATTATAAAATTCGAAAGTCTGCTAGTTTCCAAATTTTTTCAAATGACCTAGATCTATAATTTGTAATCTTGAAATAGACCATTATTTTAGGAAAATATACTTCAAGTATTAGGTTTTCCGGAAATTGATGCAGGTTTTGCATATTCTCATTTCAAAGCAACAAACTTCTTTGAAATCGTATATTTTGAAATGAGGTGAAGACTACTGTGATCAGCAACTCTTTTTCTCTTTGTGCCACTTTCTTTTGTAACTGTTGCTACAACAAGCAAATTACTGATAGCCAGAAAGTAGAAAGAAATTTTTCGACAAGGTCATACTTGGCAAGCTGTAAACTCCTACCGAATATGAGTGTTCAGCCAGAAACTTCAGTAGCTTATAGCCACAGACCAGTACTACATATATAGCTATGCAAAAAATTTTTTTTAGAAATTTTCTGCAAAAGAAAAATTTGCGGAATCAAAATTTTCCATTTTTTCGATATTTCCTCCAAGGCTGCGACCTCCGATAATTTTGATTTTTTTAATAACTCACCAAAAATAAAGCCTGGGAGGTACCAATTGAGATGATGTCTGACGGCACTGGCCTCACTCTTCAAGCACGAGGAGAGACCTTCACGGTTGGTGTCTTTAGAAAAGTTTTCTACGCCATGGAGTGGCCGGGACAATCATTCATGTTAAAGCCTCAGTTTCTCCACTCTTACAATCGTTCTAAAGAAGCGCTACTATCTATTTTGTAGGCGCACTCGATATCTTGCTTCAGCTATATTATCATGGAAATATCCCTCTTGCCGAATAAGTTCAAGCCAAATAGTGCAAAGGGTAGATTTAGTAATTTGAAGCTTCATCTTTGGATGGTTGTAGACAGGGCCCGGCAGGAGGTGGCATTTCAGAATTTTGAAAACGATATCCCCTTTGAAGCCAAAACTGCTTACGACTTCCCCTTTGACCCTATTTTTGGCCCCCGTAAGTCCCTGACAAACAGATATACACAAATAATAAGATGGGCGGCCTCAGCGCTTATTATAGAAGTACTACCTGGCTTTCCTGGTCCAGCAGTTCCTGGTTCATCGTTTGAGGGGATGGCCAAAAACCACACTCTGTCCTTCTCCTTTTGGGCCATATTCTCCACCCTTTTCCTGCAGTATCAATACTGCACTGCAGCCCTATATTTAAGATACTACTCATTTATTAGTCAGCTGCGAAACTTTACAATTCACAATAACAAAAACGTAAACCTACACTATACAACTTCAATAACAAAAACATACACCTACACTATACAACAACAATTTCATAACATTCATTTCATAACAACTTCAACAACTTCAACGGTCAAAACTCTTTTTTCCTCTTTATACCATCTCGTTCTCGTATAACTTCTATTTACATAGATGCTACAAACTCCATCTACTTGCAAAGATAGAAAAGCTCTTTCTAAGACATAATTTTGCATATTTTTCAATATGGCTGCTGAACGAGAAGCTTTAGCGCTACAAAGAAAGCAGCCAGCGAAATTGTGGCAAACGATAGACCAAAAAAAGGGAATGTGCTTCGCGGATCGATCGAAGTTGCTTTGGATGACTCAAGATATGCAAGTTCTCTAAAGGGCATGTGCTAAGAAGTCACCATAAAAGTGGAATGCGGGTTCGATTTGATCCGAAAAAAAGATAACTCGAACGCAGCTAGCAAGAAAAAGCAAGCACAACAAATAGAACAAGCAATTTTACATTCCTAGTTTGAATTTTTGATAGCAAAATCATATTTTCA